AACCTGAAGTTCCACGACAATCTACAGTGCTACATATTGACGAAAATCCCACTTTTCATGCAGTGATTGTGTACACCAATAATAAATATGCAGCAAGATAATAAAATGGGTTCCCACTGCTGGGTTTTAACAGCATACAATTTTTTAACCCCAGCTTTTTGTAATTTTGGCTTCTTGATATCATATGAGGTTCTAGAAACAATTGTGTCAGGTGAAACAAGTGAGCTGCTCTATATGGCAGAGATGGTGTATCACTGAATGTTTATGTATGCTCAAGGTCTCTTGTTTTTATTTTGGCTGAACTTTTACAACTTTTTCTTAATGCTTCAAAGTCAGCTTGAGATTTCTTCACTTCTATCCTAAGTTGCTAACTAGTTATTAGGTGTTGGTATTTGTACTGCAGAGTCATGTGAGGTTTGGCTTTGTTTGGCCTTTTTTTTAGCATCTTTCTGAGCATATTTTTTATAGTACTGTAGTGGCAGATATAGTAGCTGGTTCAGTAAAATGTCTGCACATATTTGCATTCAACACCACTCTGATCAGTTGCCTTATGCCTTTTTTTATATCAGCCAATGTTAAATAATATGGAAGCTTATTTGTATTATGATTCATAAGCTAATGGTGCAGTGTTTGATTAAATGCCACAGGTTGCACAAATCAATGATTTGTACAAATTTTTCTTTTTGATTTTCTTTTTGTTCTGGTTTTCTGCAATAAACTTGGATTACCACCACAATGTTTACAAGACATGTTTTCTATTAGTTATTTGATAGTATTGTTTTCAGATTTTAAAACTGAGGTAAAGAAGAATAGATAGAAAAAAAATCCCACCGCTTGACTTTAAATGTCAGGCTCAGAACAAAAGGAGTATTCGAGGGGAAAAGACAGTTAGGTTTAACAAAATGTTTCTTTATGATGGAACTGAAAAGAACAGCGTCTAAGGCAGGAACCTCTGCGGGGGAGAACACAGGTTAGTGACCATGTAAATCTGGCGGGGGATAATAATGGACCTGAGTCACTAACCTGGTCTTGTAGTTCAGTCCAAGCCCAGAGGATGAGGTTGGTTCCAGCTGTTCGGCTACCAACAAGACGCAGTGGGCGTCGCCCAGAGAGTCCCAGAAGCTAATAAATCAGAGGGCAGAGGACAGGCAAGAGATCAGAACTGAGCAGATGAAAGAAGCTGGGATAATCCAGAGTGCAAAGCCAAAGCAGGTGTCGAAGACATGCTCGGGAGTTAGAGTTAGGAGATCAGAAGTCCAAAGAGTTACAGAAGGGAAATCCAGGACGGTATTGGGAAATAGTTCCAGGCTCGGTACACAGAAAGGCAGAAATCCAGCAGGAGTGTGAGGACAGGTCAGGCAAACAGATCAGAAAAAGCAGGCTCAGAGGTGCAGAGGCAGATTGGGTCAGGATCGGGCAATCAGAAACACTCAGGAACACTAGAGGACTCTCACCAAAGGCTTGAATAATCTGGCATTGATGAATGGTTGAAGGCTGGTTAAACAGAGACTGAAGCAGGTGGAGCAGCAGTAAAGAGAACTGGGCCGAGATAAGCAGGTAAATGAAATGAGTATTAAGGCCAGTCATCAATATCAAGATCATGAGAATTAAAGGAAGTTATTTGTGGTCAAAAAGAAAAAAATATAAATATTTGTAATTAAATGAAGATCAGTATATTGCTGGATTTTAAAATGCTCTAATTAACTCTAAAGAAATTTGTTGGGGTTATTTTTTTTTTTTTTGTAATTAAAGGGAGTGATTTCTCATAATAATAATAATTACTCTTGGTGATTATTTTCATTTGTCAATTTTTAATCAATATCCTATTTAAAATACTTATTAGTACAGCAGCTAGTTGTTATTCTTGTGTGCCTTGCGATGGACTGGCGACCTGTCCAGGTTGTACCCCGCCTCTCACCTGTAGACACCTGGAGTTAGGCATCAGCACACCTTGCGACCCCGCTTGGGATAAGCATGACAGAATATGGATGATTGACTTGTTTAATGCAAATTTTAATTGTTCTTTCGAATATTATCAGCCAAATCATTTTCTATTCCAGAAAGCTTTTTCTGATGTTTAAACAGTCTAATTTAGTTTTTTGAACACTGTATAAATATGACACACACTTCAGCTATTGCTTCAGAATTATTTGTATTAATTTTTTTATTTAAAAGAAATGTGCATATACACTCCAAATTGGTCTACTTTAGAATTTTTCTCCAATGAATCATCAGTTTTAAATAAACATCCAATTAAAACTTCCTGTCATACAATATCAAAACAAAATCTCTTTGTCATGCAAGTTAAGTATCTCTGCTTTCCTTTGAAATCACACATTATACAGAATTGTTTTGCTTTAAAAAAAATAGTTAATCTGAATGCAAATAAATTTGTCAACAGATTTATCTTCAGTATTAAATCAAGATTCAATGACTTAATTATTTAAACAGATTTTTAAATCTTTTCTAAATAAAGCTAAATATGTTGTTTACGTTAAACTATTGCATTAACCTTGTTGTGTGCTATGGGAACCTCCCATTATCCTTACCCACTCCTTTTAATAACTGCATTAACTGTGAAAGAGGCCTAAGTCCCTCCTTT